CTAAGCAACAACTGATGAATGAATTATTGAATCATCATTCACTCAACTGAATCATTTCAAAACACTGATTAATTAAAAAACAAAACACTTTTGTGCGTCAGTTGATTCAGCTTTGGCTTTTTTTGTGAAGTAAATTAGACAAGTATAAAGCTTTGATAAGTCGCTATAATGATAACAACACATATATCGAACGATATCGCTGGAATCATTTTAGAACAGTTTTTTTTTTCAGCTGATAAAAACATTGAAAGCTGAACAGAATCCTTCCAACCAAGAGCTCAAACACTTAAGGCCTGTTCACACCAACAACAATAACTATCGTCCACACCGATGGATGATAATGTTCTGTTTAGTATATAATGCATGCAAAATGCTCAATTTTGTCACCAGTCACATTAAATAGTCACTAATTTGTTGTGGGCACTAATATAGTTATTGTTATAGTTATCCTTATAGTTAATCCTTTTAAGTGTGAACAAGCCTTAACTGGGAACATTGTGTCTAAATTGTTGCAAAACCTTTTTTTCAGAAAATTGAAAAATATCCATCAAATCTAAATGAAAAAATATATTATCGAACCACTCTTTACTCCACTGTTCTTTTTCATTAGCTACATTTCTGTGTCCATATCAGGTTTCGGTATGGCAGCACCCACTACACTCAATGGAAAAATCTTCCTTATCTTCTATGGGCTGATAGGCTGCGCAGCCACCATTCTGTTCTTCAACCTCTTTCTGGAACACATGATAATGCTGATTACATTCCTCACACGCAGATGTCGAAAGCAAAAACAAAAAACGAAGCTGAGTAAAAGACACATTGTCCCCAATTTGAACACACAGCTGGAACATGGAGATGAGCAGGAGGACTGGAAACCTTCTGTTTACTATGTAACCCTCATTTTGGCAACAGTTGCGATTTTGGTGAACTGCGGAGCATCAGGTCTGTACTCAGCCATGGAGGATTGGAGCTACCTAGAGTCTATGTACTTCTGCTTCGTGGCTTTCAGCACCATGGGTTTCGGCGACATGGTGAGTGGACAGAAGGCCCACTATGAAGCACGTTGGGTCTACCAGATAGCCAACTCTTTAATGATCATCCTTGGAGTGAGCTGCACCTATTCTCTTTTCAGCGTCACCGCCATCATCATCAAACAGATGTTGAACTGGATTTTGGCCAAGCTATTCAGTCTGCATTGCTGTCGGTCTTGGGGCTGCTGCTCCATCACAAGTCTGAAAGTCAAAGAACTGGCCAATCAGCAGATCCAGAACACAAGCAACCATCACGGCACCTGTCATGTGGTCAAGGCCTCTCTCCCCTCCAAGAGCAAGTGTAAGTGTGCCAGCACTACAGTAGAAACCGTGTGCCAGAGCCTGGACACAGCAAACAGTGGCCCAACCTTTGAACATGAAATCAGAGATTCGGACAAACTTTCGATTGATGATACAGAGAAAGACGTTTTCGGTGCTCTCAGCAAGAACTGTCACCTTAGTCATCATCATAGTGTGCGGGAGGATGTGAGAACAGTTGCAATGTCAAATCATCAGCAGCAAGAGACAAACATTAATGCAAAGCCAGTACTGTAAAAAGAAATGCAGTGAAAACTGATAAACGGCTTAACTGTAAGCTACTACAGTATGTAAAAATGTATATTAGATTTAATAGGTTAATGCATTTAGTTTTATTTGGAAGTTAAAAGTGTAAATTAACTTGTAATTTAGGGTGCAAATCTATGTTATAGACTTAATATATGTACTTTTACAGTAAAATTATCTTTATTTTACAATAGAGGACATTCTGAACTAAATTAAATCTCCCAACTTGTGAAGGGAAATGTCACGTGATTCGTTTTTGTAAAACAGTAATACTTTCTTGTTTGTTTCACCATAATATCCCCACAATGCAATGAAATTGTAAAGCTATTGATTTAAATAATTTTATTCATTAATAAAGAGTTCAAACTCTTAAACCAACCAACCAGCTCTGAAATAAATTAAAGCATTCTGAATTGGATTTTTCATTTACTGTCCTTATACCTGCAGTCATTAGGTCCTATCATTCTATCATATCATTCTATAACATTTGAACAAGTTTTCCAGCCTATAGTTTCCATTATTGTTAGTTTATAAAATATATTTTTATTCAAAATGTAAGTTAGAAATTGGCTTAAAGATATACATTATTATTTCAATTAGGCCTATATCGGACATCTTTGTGCCACATGTACTATTGTGGTGGTTATTAGTGCATTTTAAGTTATTAATTTTGGTAGCCTAGTTGAAGTAGATTGGTATACAGTATTAAAATTATATCACTTAATGAAATATACAGTTATAAGTTGTGAGATAATACCATAATACCAGAACATTTTTGGTGAATTTCTGGCCATAGCAATTTTTACCGTAAAAAATATTATATAAGAATATTCTTTACAGTGCACACAATTTTGAGTAGAGAGTCATTTAAATGGACACACAATTCAGAGAATATACATTTAATTAATTCATAGTGGAATACATTGGTTCTTGTTTTTTTTGCCGATGGTCCATCTGGAAGCCTCCAAGATGCAGTCTTTCTTGACTTTGTACTGCTCTGTGAGGTATTTTCCATTAAATCATCACAAAGGAGAAAAGCATCAGCCATTCTCTATAATAACTTTAATTACCAAACCACAAAGCAGTGGCCAAAACTGTCATACCATTATGTTTCCACTGAGTCATAGCACTGAATGGTGATTTAAAATAAGTGGTGGTGAAAAGTAAAAAAAAAAAAAAAACATTTTGATGTGGAACAAGTGTATGTTACAAAGACATCATGATTCATAAATAACGTACAGCCAATGCCCAGTGCATGATCCACTGTTTTGTCCATTTTTTTTTCAGTGCTGCATGGACTGCAAAACCACACTAAAAGAGTAGCGCTGAAAGAGTAGACCTTAAAGCAGGGCTCTTCAAATCTGGTCCTGAAGGGCCACTGCACTGCAGAGTTTAGCTCTAACCCTGATCAAACACACCTGATCAAGCTAATCAACATATTCAAGATCACTAGAAAATCACAGGTAGGTAAGTTTGATCAGGGTTGGAGCTAAACTCTGCAGGTCAGTGGTCCTCCAGGACCAGATTTGAAGAGCCCAGCTTCCCAGCTGACTATGGTTGCCAAGTCCATGGTTATGCTGCAGAACTGGGCTACTTTTACACTTGCTGTGGGCTGATTTTTTCCTAAGGTTTAAGGTTTGACATATACATAAATGATATATTATTTATATTATAAAACCTTAGCTGAGACAAAGCAAAGAGATTTTTGTAAGGAAGGGGCATGTGTTTTAACAGATTGGTGGATCTTTCCAGAATTGTTACTAGCAAATGTTTAAAGAAAGAATATGTCATCTACGGAAGCATTTCCACTTATGTAAAGCTTGTTAGGAATATTTTGTGAACTGCATACAGTTCATTTTCAAATAATTTAAAAATAAAGGATTACCACACCCACCAAAGGTAAGTCATCGATTTTAAGGTAAGACGATTTATTTATGAAAACACTGTTTTGATTGTTTCGCAGATCTGGCAGCCAGATAAATGAGACTACAGAGATCGTCAGGAACATTAAACATCCTCACAAACAGGTAAACTTATCTACTCATTAGTCTATTTTACAGCCAAATGCTAAGGATTTTAAACAAATACTGAATGAATTGTCCTAGGAAGCTTATGGTGTTGATGCTGTGCAACCGTGGTGTAGTTATAATTTATAAAGGTTGTGTTAATTTGTGAAAATTATCATGATAAACAAAACAGCATAAAATCTTGTTGTTCACAAAGCTTATTTTCTACAAGACCCCAAAATAAAAATTCAATTGGCTTTTTGTCAGGAGAACCAGGGTGATGTTAACTTCTGGGTTGGCCTACAAAAACACATCATCACTGCAGCACACTAAGGGGCAAACATGAATTGTGACCCTGGACCACAAAACCAGTCATAAGTAGCACTATTTGTAGCAATAGCTAACAATAAGTCAAAATTATCGATTTTTCTTTTATGCCAAAAATCATTAGGATATTAAGTAAAGATCATGTTCCATAAAGATATGTTGTAAATTTCCTACTGTAAATATATCAAAACTTAATTTTAATTTTTTTGCACCCTCAGATTCCAGATTTTCAAATAGTTGTATCTCAGCCAAATATTGTCCTATCCTAACAAACCATACGTCAATGGAAAGCGTATTTATTCAGCTTTTAGAGTAGATGATGTATAAACTTAATTTTAAAAAATTGTGCATTAAAAAAGAGTGCATGATATCTATATTGTGGCAGCCAATGCTTTAGATCAGTGATCCTCAAATCTGGCTCGAGAGATTGACTTTCCTGCAGAGTTTAGCTCTAACCCTAATCAAACACACCCGAGTTTGCTAATCAATGTCTTCCGGATCATTAGAAAATCACAGGTATAGTTGTTTGATTAGGGTTGGAGCTAAACTCTGCAGGAAAGTGGATCTCGCCAGCCAGATTTGAGGCTCACTGCTTTAGATGGTCAACACTGATCATTATGCTGATACTATGATAGATATTGGGGATTCTTTTTATTGAAATTTAACCAGAATATTCGCTAAGCCACAAAAGAAGTAAACTTTTATTTATCTTTTCCACTGTAGAATTATTTTGTTGCAGGTGGGCTTTTAATCCAAACAAAACAGTATTTTTTTGTATAGGCCTAGATTCAGGGTCCAGTTATTAGATTGCTTATAAAAAGGCATAAGTATAAACAAACCTTTTTCGAGAATAGTATTACATTACTATGATTTGTTTATACAGCACAAATGATTTGAAAATTAGATCTGAACTGATCTAATTTTCCTTCTCACAAAAAGCATTGCTGAAAATGACCGGAATCGGATCGCAGCCGTAAAGCAAACGGTCGAAACCCGAAATTCGTTATATTCACTACAATTCACACTCTATTTATAATCCACCAAAGTGGAAGATAAACCACAGTAGGAGAATGTATCTGTGGGTGGCATATTGCCAATTCATCCTCACACTCAGCTGTGAGTGTGCGGTAATGAGATGAAGCTGGCGCGGAGGGATACAGCGTAAATGAGGCCAGAGCGCAGCGGTGGCGCATTACTACACCTCAGTCTGGCTCACTCACTCACTCACATACACACACAGGGACAGATCCTGCGTTTACTCGTCAACGTTTAAAACACAAACAGCTTTCTGCTGCTGATTTTACACACATTTATCTGACGGGCCTTTTTAAGGATGGTAAGTACAGCCTGATGTTTATGTTGTTGTTTTTTTCTTAGCTAACGGTTTAGCCACTTTAGCATCCTGTCAGACCGTTTGACAGCTAATAATAATTGTACCAATTATTTAAGCTTTCTCTTTACCGTTTGTGATGTCGAACGCATAAAGATTGCGTAGGGTTTAGTAAAAGTGAAAATGCGTAGCAACACATCGATGTTTTATTTAAACAAACTGCTAATTATCCAGTTAGCGCTATCCAGCAGATGCACATTAACATGTGTTATGTATATTAAAGGAAAATAATGTACGATTCAATATGAATTAATCTAAAAGAGATTTTAGAAATGGATAAATTAGGCTAGTTACGTTGCAGTTTAACGCGCTCCCGCTATTGCTCTCGCGCCAGCTGAAGTCTCAATCACATGCGCACCAGTTTCTGTATTCGGTTTCTTGAATATTCTTTAATGCAAACTAGCCGTTTTTGGTCACAGTAGACCCTAGTGGTTGCAAATGCATGCTTTGTATTGCATTGCAAATATGCATGATGTAAATTCACAGCGCTGACAGCTTTTGAGTGCCTCTCGGATGCATATTTCTATTGCAAGTTAAGTATGCAACGCATCATGCGTGTTGCCTTTACGCAGTGTTTCTGCTTATCTCGGTGTGTGAACAGTGACTGGCTGCTAATTTTACATGGGCTGAGCTCATTGCCTTTAACAGAAGGATAAGTGTGGGCGTGGTGGTGTAAAAATAACCATCAGCAAAGCATATGCGCTCAAGTTCCTCATTTCTGGAAGAATCTGTCGCTTAGCTTGCTTTGCCTCCATGTATTTGCTTTGCATGCACGTTCACAAAGTTTGCAAACGTCCTGCGGATATGAGACTGTCTCTCTGTTGCATTTGCATGGGCCAAAGTTGCAACATGTAGGGTAGCTGTTGCGCACCGGTTGTTTAAAAAAAAAAGCGATTCAACATCACGCAGCCCCAAGATGATCATATAGCTGTATAAGGCGTAAATATGAATGGAGTGGACAGTGAGGTTGCATATTGCAGCATGCTGAACTGCAGTGACGGATCCCGGTTGTCCCCCTCCCCCTTTCCCCCTGCATTGAACCAAATCATAGCTGGTGCAGCAACACGCTGACACTGGATCTGCAGTGCAGACGCCCGCACTCGCTCATCAAATTGGACTGCAACTCGGAGAGGACAAACATTTGTCCGCTCATGCTCCACACTTAATCCACACTAATTGCTGCAGTCATTGAAATGCGGTAACGGGCTTGAGAAGCAGCGCGCAGAATATGTTAGCCGGAAGCAACGGAGACGGCTGCCCACCTGCATCCAAACCAGGCATTTAACCATCCGTGTGCAGCTGGTCCTGGAGGGCATGTGTGCAGCTGATGTCTGATACAGTCTGAATGGAGGGCCGCCATTGCATTGCACTACTAGCCTGGAGTTTGAGTAATAGATTTCTTCTGTTTCTAGGAGTAGCATTGTTTGTGATACTCGGAGTCACTCAAGATTCCTTTTCAGTAGGATTAATCGGTTTTCGCGATAGAGATAACAAAAGTCAAATTTATGCAAATGAGCAGTGATATGATCAAGAAAAGTGCAGTTTTTTTTTAGATTCAATTTAATAAAATGTCAATTGGTATAACCAAACAACGTTATGTTAACATTTTCTTTAAACTTTGAATGCGAGTCTACACAAAATGTTAAAAAAGTAAAAAAATATGCTACCATTCAGAAGTTTGGGATTTGAGTTATTTGAGAAATATAATAAATGTTGTTCTTTATAATATCAAAGAGTCCTGGGAAAGAAAATAAATCATGGTTTCCACAAAAATAGTATGCAGCACAACTGTTTACAACATTGATAATAATAAATGTTTCTAGAGCAGTAAATCAGTATATTAGAATGATTTCTGAAGGATCATGTGACGCTGAAGACTGGAGTAATGATGCTGAAAATTCAGCTTTGCGTCACAGGAATAAATTACGTTTTAAAATATATTCAAAAAGAAAACGTTTATTTAAAACTCTGGTAAAAAAAATAAATGATGCCTTGTTGAGCATAAGAGACTTCTTTCAAAACATAAAATCTTACTGACCCCAAACCATTGAATGGCAGTGATTTTTTTTTTTTTCAAGGTATAACTTTTCTTTTTTAATTCCGCAATTATCAATAAATATGAATTCATAAATTGGCCTATAATTTTTATAAGTCTGACATGTAGTTGTTTTCAAAATCGCCTCCATACCCTCATTTGCTATTTTTATTAGTTCACTAATATAATGAATGAAAATGAGTAAGCAAATTTGGACACTGAGTGTACCAGAAGGGCTGCCACTTTTACATTGTGCTTTTTGTGCCAACTCCAGTAGTAATAAAGATTTATCTTGAATTCTGTCATGGAAACTAGCATGAATAAACCTCCATTAAACTATTTAATAATCAATTAATAATAAATTTATACCTGTATGATTTTCCGCTATACCCAAATTGGACAAACGTTTTGGAAAATAGATGGATGGATGATTCCGCTGCAGTCACCATCTTCTGGCCAAGCGCGGGAATTCATTCGGCACGAGCCTCACACTGCATTATAGGTATATGGGGTGATTTCAGACACAGCCCATGACATTTTATGGCCTGCCTTAATCTTGCCTTGTTTTATAAGGACAAATTATCTGATATTTTAAGATACACATTGACTTTGACACACAGTCACGAGGGTCTGCAGGGGCCTTCTCTATAATATAATTTTTTTTTCTGCATGTTGTTTGAACCATGACTTTGTTGGTCGCACCACATGGCTTTATTTTAGACAAAAGTTTTTAAAAATTTTAATATGCAATAGAAGCTGTCAAGCTGTATTGATTGTTTAAAAACTTTTCATTAAGAAATAATAATAAAAGCTCGTTTTTCTTTGCAAGAATTTAATTTTATTTCTTTTTTTGTTGATACAGCTGTCCAGATATTGTAATCATGCCATTTTTCCTGCTCCATGCCCCCGCCCCCCAAAAAAATATCACAATAATTTTTAATAATTTAAAATATGCTCATCATAGAAGAGCTATGTAAGTAATTATTATTTGCATTGATTGACCCATGTTGTAAAATAGGCAGCACAGTTTCCTGTTGCGATTTTACAGTACAAAATGTATTATGCGCAGGTGTGTATCTTGTGCTTTGCTGTGCCCTCCTGTTATTGAGAGAACCATTTATATCAGTCGTTTTCTCATCTCACAAATGGCGAGCCAAATGTGTTAAAGCTAAAGTCATTGCCTCGTATGTGGATGAGTCAGATCCATGTCCGCTGTTTCCTCATGGATCATTTTACACCCTGTCCATTTTAAGCTCCAAGCTTTATGAATCACCCGCCTTTGAATACAAGGGAGCGTGTTCTGCTGCCTCCTCTAAGAAAAGACACAGCTGAATCATGCAGAGTGAATCACGTGTACAGATGAATCCTCTCCTATTTAATAATTGAATAACGAACTCCGTGTCAGAGAGAAGCGCAATCATTTTAAGTGTGTCGCATTCATGACCCCCTAAGGTGGCACTGTCTAATTATAACTGCCGTGGATATTTTTATGCATGTTTTTCATTATACTCATTTAGTCAGAGGTGTGTGTGTGAGCACTGCAAAACTGGAGCTTTTCTGATAGTGATGTGGCACTGAGCTGATTGACTTCCTCTTTCTCTCTCTCTTTTTCCCAATACAGGCAGATCAGCTGACCGAGGAACAGATCGCTGGTGAGTGAACTCTGACAGTCAGCTTCAAAAGGGCCACTAAAGCTGTCTTACACATTACATCATCAGTGCACACACATACACGCTAGGGCTGTGCGATTTGGGGGAAAATATAAAATTGTGATTTTTTTTTTTGACAGATACTGCGATTGCGATTTGATTTGCGATTTTAAATTTGCAAGTTGTCTGTCATTTCGAAGCTTAAGTTGCATACGGTTTTCTTTAGTTTTAATTTGCCTAACTATCGATCTGACCCAGTAGACGCCATAATCCCACTCTGTCTCTCTCCCGCTTTCCGTTTTTATTTATTTATTTTTTTTTTAATGGTGGGTGTTTACGCAGTTGGCTAGAGCAGTGCTGATTGGGGAGAACGGAGGTGCGCTCACTCTTGCCCAGGGCAAGTAAGACTGCAACTCAAGGCTGGCAGTCATGCATATGCTCTGGAACAGAGTAATATCGCGTCCACATCGCAGGCTTTGCGATTAGGAAATCGCAACGTCTCAAATCGCGATTTTGATTCGATTTCGATTAATTGCACAGCCCTAATACACGCACCATATTGCAACCTCAATAACATGTTAAGGCTCAAAGCAACCTCATTAAGTATGGGCTGACAGACCCATTCCCTGCCCCTCATATTTCTTGAGATTCACTGTCAAGTAACATTGGCTGAAAAATTGTCTAGTACCATGGTTCTCGTCCAAAGGATCAGGACCCTCTAGGGGGTCTTAGCGCACTTCCACGGGGGCCGCAATATGACTTAAAATGATTTTTTTTAAAAAGCGGATTTTGAAAAGATATAAACTGACATTCTATTTGTTCTTTTGATTTTCTTTCCCTTAGCAAGTGTAATTTGTATTTTAATTCTGGATATATGAGAGAATTTTAAAAGTGTGATAATATCTTGGCCTAAATGGGGGGTGTGTAATTTTCTGCTTTAATGCTGTAGCTTTTTGAATGAGGCGAAGTGCTAAACAAGACAGTGGTTGTGATTGGCACACTACCATGCTATTTTCACACTTTGTAGTGTACTTTTGGTAGTATGCACATTTTCTTTATACACTGAGTGCCCAGATGACCTACTTCCCAAAATGTGCAAGAAGGTTAAGCCCAAAGTATACTTCAGTTTTTACACGCATGCGAGGGTGCACACTGCCCAATTTTGTTTTTTTTTTAGTTTAAAAAAGTACAAAGATATTTTTATCTGCCATAACTTATGGAGAAAAATAGTGCAGCCAGTGTACAAAGATGAAAATTGCTAGAGTGCGTATGTCGACCGTCTGCGTCAAATGGAGAATACTTTGAAAGGCTACGTTTTCAACTGGATGTATACACTAGAGTACCTGTAAAAAAAAAAAAAACGGAAGTATACTTTGAGCTTTAGGGTTAGTACATGGATTTCTGTGTCCTACAATGCAATGCACTGTAATCTTGATTTATCATGTCCAGTGAATTAGTCATACAGGAAGTAATATCAACGGCACCTGGTATGGTTTAAAATGTTTTTTTATTTTTTTAAATAAATCTCTTTCTTGACTCATTTGATTCCACTGACATATTTTCACATAGTATTTTTTTTTTAATAAAAACTAGGGATGTAACGATTCACTCAAGTCACAATGTGATAGAATTCACAGTACTGATTTCACAATACAATTTTCTCTTTTAAAGCAGCACTATGTAACTTTTTCTGTGTTCAAAATTTGCAAAATGTATGTAATGAGCGGGTACATCATGAATTCATCTTCCAAACCGCGTTTTTGTCTTAATCCGAATCACTACGGTTAGGGATGGGTATCGTTAAGGTTTTAACGGTATTACTACTCTTACCGATACTGCTTATGGATTCGGTACTTTAACGGTATTCTTATCGGTACTTTTTGTTTTATATATATATATATATGACAAATTAAGAGCTGAATTAACATTGCTTTATATTCTGAAATGTAAAATAAATATTTAATGAAATGAATATAAAACATCAATTTGTAAATGCACCAGTGTGCAGGCATTTTTAGTGTTTTATACATAAGATAAGATACAGTAAGAACATGAACAAAGAAACAAAGTAAAACAAACTGACCAATACAATAAAACAAATATACAAATTAAATGAAATAAACAGTGCTTTAATTCTTCCATTAAGTTCTACTAACATTACTGTTCAGGTAAGTAATAGCCTACAAAAGAAATCTAAAAGTAATCAAATGTAAATGAGCACTGCATAGTTTTCAGTGTATGTATTGATAGATTAATGCTTATTAAAGCTATAACGTTATTCAGATTAAGAGCAGATTTGCATTTTGATGGCCCAAGCGCCAGTCTGTCACTTTAAGACAATATATTGACACACATCGGATTTTCTCCCAACTGTTCTCCTCCACTTAAGACATAAACTGTGTTTAAGTAAATACTCTCCAAGCCGGCCATTTTGACATTTTTGTGTGTATTCGATCGTTTGGACATGCGCCCGAAGCTCAAAGTGTAATTTGCTTGTCCGTTTTGGAGCGCACCGCTCGCACACATTTCAGCCTGAGGAACAGCGTCTCTTGTGCGGATTGTGCTTTCAACGTTTTATCAAACATGTCCCGCAATTTAGCAACAGTAAAGACGGCATCTTACAACAATCACCGATTGAGCTGATTCTGACGTTAAGTTTGGGTTTTAGGGAGGAACGAATGCGCACCGCTGTGAAGGGAAAGAAGTTATTCATGTCTTCTTTTGTATAATCCTTAGAAGCCAAAATCGAAATAAAAAAAATAAAATTAGCTTAATAAAACAGCCACAGGCCTAAAGTGTAAGCAGATGTTTGAATGTTTAGTTCTCTCTTCTATCATAATTAAACAGGGCTTTCATGAAATGCAAAACACACCTGATGCGAATTCTTTGCTCTTCATTTTCTATAAGCAGAGTTAACAGACCCTGTTGTATTTTCTTGTAATTTATTAAAAGAAGGTACACCGCCATCTTGTGCCGACTAAACTGACTTGAACGCACCTGACGTCGTAATTACGACTTGTCAACTCGTAAGTACGAACGTCCCAGGAGGACTTGAACGCAGCATTCTATTTGGACTATTGTAGCCTGGTCGGTCGTCACCGCTGCGGAGTAACACATACCTGCGTGAATCGCCATAGACATAAACTTAGAGAAGTAGCTCCGGTTGGAATGTTCTTCCGTGGGATGTGTGCAGTTCTGTTTATTAACCACTAGAGCGCCAAAAGTTACATAGTGCTGCTTTAACAAATTGAGATTTAAGAAAAATTATAAATGAAAATGTGTCCTTTTATTATTTATCAAACAGAATGCTGTACTACGTTTCTTTGTGAAATTTAAATGTCAACAAAACTAAACTGAAATTTTAAAACAAATTCCAAATCAAATAAATAAATAACACGTATAAAAGAAATCTCTTCATATAAACTAACTAATGCTGGGAACACACTAAAAGATTTTTAAAATCTTATAAGATCTTCAATGTGAGAGACCACAAACATGAGGACAAAAATTCCTAGATTTAACCGTTTTGCTCCTATAGTGTGTGGTCTTCCGTGGGATGTGTGCAGTTCTGTTTATTAACCACTAGAGCGCCAAAAGTTACATAGTGCTGCTTTAACAAATTGAGATTTAAGAAAAATTATAAATGAAAATGTGTCCTTTTATTATTTATCAAACAGAATGCTGTACTACGTTTCTTTGTGAAATTTAAATGTCAACAAAACTAAACTGAAATTTTAAAACAAATTCCAAATCAAATAAATAAATAACACGTATAAAAGAAATCTCTTCATATAAACTAACTAATGCTGGGAACACACTAAAAGATTTTTAAAATCTTATAAGATCTTCAAAATGTGAGAGACCACAAACATGAGGACAAAAATTCCTAGATTTAACCGTTTTGCTCCTATAGTGTGTGGTGTCCTCGGGGTTCCCCCCCACACATCAGGATTTCTGATCGTAAATGTTGAATATTTACGATTCAAGATCGGGGCGCCTCTGACGTTCTTCTGAGCAGATTCAGTCACTCTTAGCACACCACACACCACAGGAAAATCTGATAAGATAATCTTTAGAACCACCAAGATAATCGGGACATTACCTAGAATTGTCGGAAGGGGAGAAAGCGGCCTAAAATCAGCCCGATTATCTTGTGGTGTGTACCCAGCATTAGGCTTTGCCTGTGCTCTTTGCATTTAAAATTAGAGGCAACCACTGCATTTTAATCACGATCCAAACAAAGCTGCTGCTTAAGCCGGGCTCACATTACAGGAGTTTTAAAATCCTAACTGATTATGGAATCTGGTTGCAGCACACACATAAGGAGAATCTTTGCAGATTATCTTCCTTTAAACCTTAAACATGCACACACTACAAGATTTGAAAATCGTGGCGCATCAAACACTACAAGATATTATTAAGATCACGCAGCAGCTTGTCAGCTATGTTTACATATGTTAGCTAGCGTGCTAGCAGCTTTCTGCACTCACCCGGTACGTTCAAAACTGAGGCGATTTCACCCCAGCACTTCTCTTTCTCCTTATGGTTGTGATACGTTTTCGACACATTATTCAGACAGTCGTGTTACTACAAAACGACAAGTAGCAGTTTCCTCCGTCTCCACTATCCAACGGAGCCGTACAGCAGCTGTTTTGCGGTCGCGCATTGGCTATTGTGAAAGTACTGATGTAATCATATAGCCATCATCATCCTGACTTAAATCCTAAATATCAAATATGTTTGATATTAATCAGGGCAGCCCCGATTTGTGTGCGAGTAGATCAGGAGGTGCAAGATTCGATCGGTGAACGCCTCGCATTACCAGATAATTAGGGGTGGCTCGATACCACTTTTTCAGAACCAATCCGATATCGATCCGATACCAGCGCAGTTTTGTTAATCAGTGTAGAATTTCTATACCTCAATGTGTGTTGAACTGATCATCACTCTTTTGTGTGTTACACACAATCTACTTAATATAGACAACTTTCTTATAAAGAAAAAATAACAAACAGAAAAAAATATATAATCAACAGGGCTTGACGCTTACTTTTTTCAGAAGGAGCACATGTGCTCCTAAGTTGAAAAATTTAGGAGCACATTAAAGAATTTTAGGGGCGCAATGAAAATTTATTAAATAATGTGTTTTTACCTAATACCCAGCAGCTTTTGTAAGCAGGACGTCTTGCCCGCTTTGAGCTTAGCCAGCGGTCCACAGCAGGACTGGGATCAAATTGCTCTAATGAAGGCCCCTCTAAACTGATCCGCATCAAGTCTTCAGTTGTGGACACTCCAAGGCAGCTTCTTGTTGAATTCTTGATGCGGTTTTGGGCAGAAAAACCTCTTTCACACTGGGCAGCAGAAATAGGGAGCACCAGCATGATCTGCACCAACTCTAGTATGTTCTATGGAAGATGACAACATTTTAAATTAATTAAATAAAAATAAAAAATAGAAGTTGTGTCTGGACAATTTTGGACTGCACTGCCTTACTTTGTAGTCTTGCTTGTAGGGGTCCTTTGTCAGCAGCATCTCCCATAAGCCAGAGTAGGTTTTGTCCCTGAAGTTCTGGCTCACTAGGATTTTGAGCCCTTGCCATTCATCCTGGATTGTAGCAATTTTGCACCCTGCTCTGAAACACAGAACAGAGCAATTTGAGTTTGCACATATGCAACAGGTGTCTCAAATGGCAATGCTGTGCCTTATCAAATTAATTCTTACTCTGTTAGAGGCTTTTCAAAATGCTTCACCAGGTCTGCTATGCTGTCATCTCCAAAGGTAAGTAAGTTAGCTTGTTCCTCTGGCCATGTGTCAGGGTTGAGCACTCTGAAAGAATCCAGTATGGTCTGGATCCCCTCATTCTTCACCAAACCACCAAACCTTGCTTTGATGGCATCCACACTGATGCTGATGGCAGCTTCTACGTGCCGCTTCAGCTGTGGATGTTTGAGGCATGTGACATTCCCTTTCAGTTTCATTCCCTTCAAAAGACACACATACACACATATACACACTTAGGGTTAGTTCACCTAAAAATGAAAATTCTGTCATCTTTTACTCCCCCTCAATTTGTTCTAAACCTATGAGTTTCTTTTTTCTGCTGAACATTTAGTGGGGAACAAATAAAAGTGAATAAGTGTTGGACTAAATCTGGTAAAATGTTACACATTGCTCTTTGTATGGTTGTAAAATACATTCATGAAAAAAGTAATATTTATATATAAATATATAGGGCCTATTATAAAATTTAAAAGACATTTCTTCTAAATGTATAGCACAGTAATGAGGCAGCAACATATGATATATATAACAAGAAAGGCTATTAATAATCTGTCATTGTGCAAAAGTATTATGATACGAAAGGCTCCAATACAGAGCGGCACAAAGCGCTTGTGCGCATCCCGTGCGCAGAATGATACGCTTGAAGCAACACGGAGTCACAGCGCGCAGCGCTCCGCGTAAAAACGTTCAAAGCACAAAGGAAAGAGACATTGATGCATAGTGTATTAAATCTGTGCGATAGTTTATTGAGCCTTTTCTTTTAACAGTTTTAAATCTCAGTTACTGTGCTCGTGAATAACAATTCAAAGTGCTCTCTACTAGTGCTCTCTACATAGTGTTGTGATCTAACACGGTCGAAATGAACACTATTTAGAAACAAAATTAAACTCCAGCAAGATAAAGTCTTGCAAAACCATTTATCTTTATTTACAGATCAAGTATAATATTAGGAACATTAAATCATCTTGGAGAGAGTTTCATTGTCTTGACTGTAGTAACCGAACGTGACACGCAGTTTGAATGCTGAATGGAGGATGACAGACAGCCGCAGCGAAGAGAAGAGTTTACATTAACTTGAATTTAACTACTTAAATATTCATCTGTACCTCACATTAAACTGTGGAATGGCTTCAGAACACTTGAAATATAGTGCACGAAAACTTTTTATAGTGCTTTATGATGTTTTTGTGGCTTTCGTGGGGCTTAACAATAACACGGAATAGTATACGCACAATATCGGATATGGATCGGTCTCCTCTGACCGATAACCGGTCCGACAGAAAATGCCAGTGTCGGAGCGATACCGATACGGAGTATCGGATCGGCGCACCCCTACAGATAATCCACGCCGAACATCGGGACCGATCAAGGTGCTCGACAAGATTTTTGCTCTGATTCTCGGGAGGGGAAAATCGGGCTAAAAATCCTGTAGTGTGAGTCCGGCTTTACGTGAATCTTGAGCGTTTTTTAATTTAAATTTGATTGTATAATTCCAAAATTTGAAGCAAAAACGGAATGATCTGACTTGAGCTTTGTGAAACTATACTATATAAAATATCTGAACAAAACAAAAACAGCATATGGGCTTCATGAGAGTGAAGACTGTTCCACTCAGAGATTCGTTCATATAAACCTCCACTCGCAAATGTTTCACAATTAAATGAACATCTCAACCGACTTCATCACAAAATCATCACACATTTTTATGGATTTTCAACTGGCTCGGAGTGCATCGTGACATCCATAATAACAACTGAAAAGTTTATATACTGCTAGTAGTATTCTATACTGAAAGCTATTTACTGCAAAAGTAGTACCTTACCCCCTGTTTTAAGAGTTGCTTAGACTTCAAAAAAGTACATGTACTGTACTTACATGTTTGTAATTCAAAACAGAGTTCAAGGAGGCGTTCTCACTCTTCGACAAAGATGGCGATGGCACCATTACCACCAAAGAGCTGGGTACAGTGATGCGCTCATTGGGTCAGAACCCCACTGAGGCCGAGCTCCAGGATATGATCAATGAGGTAGATGCTGATGGTAAGATCACAAACAATTATAACTTTCCACAGTCCTGCTGTCTTTTCTGTTTGATACAATAAGTGCTTTATTTTAGTCAGGTAAAGTTATGTGGCTTCTTATGTCCAATCCTGCTCAAGGAGGTCCACTATACTGCAGACTTTAGCTCCAGTCATAATTAAACACACCTGGACCAGCTAATGAGGGTTTTCAGAATTACTGGAAACTTCCTGGAGATAAACTCTGCAGGACGTTGGCCCTCCAGGAGCAGGATTGGACACCCCGTCCTAAATCAAGCTGGTGTTAAGTGTCTTTCTCAGGATGGCAGATTAGCATTGGCGAAGATCGCCCTGTGAGTCCAAAAGTGCTAAGATGGTTGGTCTCATTCTCAGTCAGCATGCCCATAGAGAGCCGTTCTTGGACCTCCCGATACATATTACACATCAAAATGGCAAGAGCTGTCAGGAAGTGCATTCTGATGTGCTGAAAGCTACAGGCATCCTTTGAGAACCAGGCGTGTACAGGTTTATATCTGGCCAGCAGGTAACAAGGTTTTGTTTAGAAATTGGCAGGCTTCTCTGGAAGATCTTGACATAAGCTTGCAAAAGTTGAAGCTTTGAAATATATTGAAGTCTACTGCCTCATGCAGATGCACTGGTGGAAGTTTTTTTTACTTTTCATTTAATCTTGTGGTAAATGGCAACAACATGATCTGTCCACAGGCAACGGAACTATAGACTTCCCGGAGTTCCTAACCATGATGGCACGGAAAATGAAGGACACGGACAGTGAAGAGGAAATCCGAGAAGCTTTCAGAGTCTTTGACAAGGTGAGGAAATGTCACCGTTAACTGCAGCTGCCATGAACTTGAAACCTGATGAAGCACTGAACTGATTCATGAAACGTAATCTTGAAGAATCTTAATGAAGGTTCAGGGTAGCTGCTTTTGAACACAAGAACACTTCTGACCCACTTCTCAGGGTCAGGTGAACCAAAACCAGCTGAAATATACAAGGCTTCCTTGAAAATGACCAGTCAACTAGTCATCCAGGCAACCCGCTGACTTTGAAACCGTGTAGCTGCTGTGAAGCGTTTACGTAAGAACTGCGCAGGTGTGTTTTCCGTACAGTGGGTGAGATTATTCACCATGTGGGCACAGGCTGCAGCAGGCCGTTGGCAGAGAGTGCTTGAAACAGCTTGAGTTGATTTTGGGTTTTCTTGATTGCTTCTCCACTTGCTTTGAGCTTGGGATGAATATTTTGTAGTCAGATATTTGAACACAAACATAACCAAATAAAATAAATTAAAAGCAATCAATATAATTATATAAATGAAATCACATTTTTAATGTTTCATGTGTCCTTCAGAAAAAGAAGAGATGAAAGTTCTTAAGGTTCCGATATGCTTCAAGCTAAATTTACTGATACGTTACGAACAGGTGAAAAAAAAGGCAAAAAAAACAAAGGTGCTTTGGAGTTTGTTTCAATAGTTCAAACAGCTCGCCAGTGTGAAATTTTGTCAAAAACATCTTTGTTTTTTTTTGTTTTTTGCAAAACATTCTTCGAACTGCCATTGGTCCATGATAGGGGTGGGCGATTTGGAAAAATATTATATCACAATTTTTTTTAGAAATATCACAATTCACGATTTTATCACGATTCTTTGTCATGTTGGTTTTACTATTTTGCAAGTTGTCTGAGCATAACAGTCAAACTAATTTCCCTATTATAAAGACAAAGCCTTTCAAGGTAACAAAATTAAATTAAAAAAAGGCAGATATTTTGGCCAAAGTGGGCGAAGATAAAAATCTTTGTCATTATTTTATCTTTGTTATTAAAAAATAAGAACAAAGATACACATTACCAACTACACATAATATACAAATAAAACAAACTGCTTTATTTTCAGGTACAATAGGTGTATTTAGCAGGAGCATTTAAGAAATTGAATGAACAAATATAAAAATAAAACACTATATAGACTGATTCCTAATACAACTGTTTTAAAGATCTTCAGTCAAGAATAGTGAGTGATTTTTTTCTTTGCATTTTGTTGTTTTATTATCGTTAAAGGAATAGTTCACCCAAAAATAAGAAAAAAAACTGTCATCAGTCTGTCAATTCTGTCATAGTGTTTTATTTTTATACCATCATTTACTCACTCAAAAGTT